AGTTGGCGATCATCAACCGTCTGACCGCGCTGTTCGCAAAAATCTGGCATGAAGAGAAAATGCCTTCCTCTTGGGGCGAATCAGTTATTGTCCAGATTTTCAAGAAAGTCGTTCGCACTTCATGTGTAAATCATCGCGGGATTAGTCTTATTTCGGTTGTCTCCAAGCTATTGGCATCCATTCTGCTTCGCAGAATATCCCCAGTACGCGCATCACACTACCGTGAAGAACAGGCTGGTTTCCGTCCCGGCCGCGGATGCGTGGATCAAATCTTCACGCTCCGCCAACTCCTCGTACATCGCCACATTTAGCACAGGCCCACAATCGTTGCATTCTTAGACATACGTGCCGATTTTGACTCCGTTGATCGACCTGCTTTATGGTGTTGCTTGATAAAGAACGGGGTGCTAGAGAAATATACCGCCATCTTACGAGCACTTTACCTTCATACATCCAGCAGAGTGAGGGTATATGGCAAGCTTTCCTCACAATTCGCTGTCAATAGCGGTGTGCGACAGGGCTGCCCCATGTCCACATTCTTCTTCAACTTCGCAATCGAAGACGTTCTGTCAAATGCTCTAGAAGGTTTCCAACATTTTGGTTTAGAGCTTCTACCGGGTGAGCGCGCGACCGACTTAGATTATGCTGATGATATCGCCTTACTTAGTGACGTTCCTCAGGGTATGCAACTCATTCTGGATCGTTTGGCGGTTGAAGCATCTAAGTATGGCATGAGCTACGCCACATCGAAGTGTAAAATACTGCTCCAGACTTACACCTGCTCCCGTGCTCACTCTCGAAGGTGCACAACTTGAACAGGTAGATAGTTTCGTCTACCTTGGGAGGTGGATTTCTACTGATCGCACTATCCGCAAAGAAGTTTCTCTTCGCATCGCTAAAGCTAGATCAGCATTTGTCAATCTTAGGCATTTGTGACGTCGTCACGACGTCTCATTCTCACTAAAGGGCCGCGTTTACAGCGCATCAGTTCGCTCAGTATTGTTGTATGGGTGCGAGTCCTGGCCGATTCGCGTGGAAGACATGCGTCGTCTTTCTGCGTTCGATAACGGTTGCTTAAGGAGGATCGCTCGTGTTTGGTGACAACATCGAGTTAACAGTAATGACGTTCGGCGTCGCAGCTTGGGGAATGCGAGTATTCCCTTCAACAAACTGGTTTGCTGCGCCAATTGAGATGGCTCGGTCACCTCCTACGCATGGCACGTGAGCGTCTACCGCGTCGCGCACTATTTGCTCATCAAGGACCTGGCTGGAGGCGACCGCGTGGTGGTCAGCCTTCCACTTTACGACAGCACATGAAATCGCTGACGTCGTGTCTAGCCGCCGTTGGACCCGTAGGTTTTCCGGGATGGGGACTGTTATAATTGAGGGGACGCCTCTTGATATGATTGCGTAGATGCCTGATGAGATTGTCACTGGCACGGTTGGAGCGCGACTACGGGAACAGCTTGTAACGCTGGTTGATCGAACAGATTTGCGCCGACCTGATGGCGTTAGTTTAGCTCGGTGAGACGGAAATTGAGCGGGCGTGAGAATGATCCTAGCCACACGTATTCGGGTAGATGCTGAGCCCTCGGAACGGACGCACACGAGAGGGGTTACGGTAGACGCGCACTAGTGACTTAGACGCGAACGGTGCTCAGCTGACGCACACAAAGTCACGCGACCAACCGACCCCCACTGAGGGGAAGAGGAAAAAAGGCAAGTGGTCCTCTGAAGGCTCTTTTACGACCAACATAGGGCAAATCACAGCCGGTGCTATGGGTCATTAAGTTAGGGAAAATTGCTACCACGACGAGGTGGTAGTTTGTAAAAGACCAGTGTCAAAAGATGCGCAGTTGGGCCGCGTCTAGGAGTGGCTGAATGCTGCTGCGTTGTGAGGAGGAAGTGGACCTCGCTTTCCATAGCCATAATGCTGTAGTTTCTGGGGCGTTTTTGCGGGGATTTTTGACGGACCCGCAACAGGGACCCAAAGATAAGCAGTGTTAATGGCTTAACACACTTGAAGACATGGTCCGTAACCGGAATCAGTGGAATATTTTTGTACAGTATTGTAGTGATTAACATGTTAAATACTTCAAGCATTAAAAATGACAAAAAAGAGAAAAATCGGCGTGTGAAAAACAAACTAAGAAATGTTTTGTTGTACTTTTTGTCAAAAGGTTCCTTTCTTTCCGTGGCATATTAGCTGAAGTGTATTGCTCGCTTGCAACTACTATGCCACGATGATTATGAAGCGATGACTGTCCCTTACCTGCTGATCTCCATGGTTTTCTGTTGGCTTTGTGTCTAGTTGATAGACTGTTACCTACTTACTTACATCCTAGTCAGATATCTTTTCACGGCTATGTGGAAAAATGGGAAACTGCTATCTTGCAAAACCATATTATTTGCTTGAATTAAGCAAATCGAACCTGCGGATGTCTGTCCATCATCCAGATATTTTAAGCTGGGCGCATAAGTGAATTCGAATGCTCTCTGTGCTGAGTACTGAAAGTTTGCATTCGGTTCGCCTATGTCATGTGTCAGTGGCGAATGATGTTGCAATTCAGACTGATATTTCACTTTCGCAGATTGCGGAAATAGCATCTTCGAGGATGGACGCGTAATCGAGGTCAAAATTGTGCGTTGCGTGGGTAAGAGGCTGGATAGAGGCGAATACTCTTGATCGCTAGACAAATCTGCATAGATGTATATCATCTATAGCTGACGGTGATGTGGTTACTTTGAGTCCAGGGACATCTATCGTTCAGGTAGAAATCAAGTAACTCACTGCAAACGTTTGTGTTTATAATATAGGGATTGTGATAGGCGCAAAGCGGTTAACAGTGTTAGTACGACAAGCATCAAGTCAGAATCGGCCCCTTAGGCGGTGCACTGACTCCATTAAGTGAGCAACTTAAGCAAAGAATCAGTTGCTTCCGGCCACTAGAATAAGAAAGAAGGTCTGCTCGTTAAATCCAGCTTTAACTGCTTCCGAGTTATCGATGGTGGTAGGGTTACCTTTGAAGATAAAAAGGCACCATGCCTTCGATCGCCGTTGTTAAGCCCGATGAAGGTTCGAATTAGAATGATACATATGCGAATATTCATCATGATCCATTCCTGCGGAAGAACCTCCGCAGATTCAGCCATGGGGTGTGCAGTCCGTATCCTTGAACTCTAAGCTTAATAAGCGCAGATATATGACGTTGGTGGTCTGTAGGAGTTTCAGAGACATATACATTAAATCAGAAGGACTTTATCACCAGTTGATCGCTCTGGGTGTGCAAACGTTGAAAATCCGTGTGAAATAATGCCCAGTATCTAAAAAAGACTTGGATGCTTTCCTGTTAAGGTGTGGGAAGTCAGTAGTGGACTCTTTCTAGTCAGCAAGAAGAGTAGAAACGGAAGGGGAGGTACGGTTACTGGCTCTATATCTTTTGGACGAGTAATACAGTCAGGTTGCCCATTCGGGAGCATTTGTTAAAGGTGCCTTGGAACCCAACAACCTAATCCACAGTGGTAGGGAGCAAACCCACACCGGGAATGTGATTGCAGAATATCACCCGGATCTGCATGTGATTACCTACTCTCATGAAACATTGGAACAATCGGTAAAATGCACGAGTGCCTTTCGATTGTGGAGGGTTACGCACCTGGGACCACGCCCAACGGCAAGTGAGAGCTGGCGTGTTTGCACTTCAGTGACCAGAAACTGCCTGGCCTGAGAAGAGTATTAGCAAACCGTTCAGGGCAGTGCTTTCCAACCGTCAGGGACAACCAGTAGCGCTACGTCAATCAAGACGAGATTATAACCTGTGAAGTATTGCATCCCATGGCCTGGTTTTGAAGGAGGAGGGATAATAACTGCTGATTAACTACCAACGAGGAGAAAGGTTATTTGTCAAACCCCAAACAACTGGCCGGTCCAGAATTAATTCTGCAGACATATGGAATGTGATATCCAGCACATCGGGATCAATGAATCACGGGAACGCGCGCAAACCAACACACTACTTTAGGGCTCAATCTCGTACTGACGAAAGAATTCGTGAAATCTGAACCGGAAAATGTGTCGCCCGAAAATAATGTACAACGCCTGTGAGGGTTCTGTGCAGTAGCTTTCAAGTTAGACATCCTTTCAAGCAACCGGAAGAGCGCTAGGTGACCAACTTGCTTTATCGGGACTTGCCAGTAGTACGAGTCCACCGGCTACATGGGGAATTAGACCAAGGAGTTCTGGACGCAAGAAACTCGTACCACTAGGCCGCGGCGTATGCCACTGGTAATCGTCGCCTCATTTAAGGGAAGAATGGATGCTGGAGGGAGCAGCATCAGATGATAGGATACGGTACTCGACTCCAGCGAATGGGCGACGCAACCCAAAGTTGATCAGAAAGTGGGCTAAACGCAATGCACCGAGGAACTGCATATCGGTATTCGGAGACCGCAAGAAAAGAACTCTGCGACAGGGCTTCTAGACGTGAAGTAGGCCTGCGGCAAGTCACGCGGAAAGCTGGTAAAGTCAGTTCATCAATATGACACGGGTTGCTACGCAGCCGGTGTGAGCACCACTACAGCTGGCCAATGGAGATCGCTAGCAGATCTGAATCTGTCTAGACAAGTGACGTGAGTCAGCTCAGAAACGTGAGGCTAGAGAGGATGGGGCATGTAAATTATAAAATTTACCGTGTTCTGTTCCTAATACACTTCGGTCTAGCAGGCTTCAGTGTTTTGTTCATTCCCGGCTGGGTTGGCAGCACAGAGAGCAGGGGCAGCGGTGGCGTTACAACAATCGCAGTGAAGACTGTATCAAGAACGACTTGACAACGGGGTGCACATGACCATAGAGATAATGGCGAGAGTAAGATACAAGATGCGTGTGGATTAATGGAGCGTTTGATCAAGAAGAGAAAAATGTAGTGCGTTCCTAGTCACAACAAACAGTGGCATGGTGAAAGAACAATAATTGGGAGAATCGAAAGCAGTGTCTAGCTTACCAAAGCACAATCAGTGCCTCGAGAAGGACACACTTCTCCATCATGCCGCTGCATGGATCTGCCCACAGGCTGATTACTTCGGAACCGATCGCGTCAAAATGAGGCTGTGAAAGATATGTGGAACGGAAGGGAAAGAAGCAACCCGATGGCGGATATAAAGTCTGCCACAGTACAACGGTGCAGGACAGTAGTGTAAGCGGTGCGAAACCAACGTATGCAACATGCCGTTCAGTCTTCAAGCGTGATAAAATGATGAAAATTGCTGAAGCTCGACGGCGCTCAAGTGGAAACTAGTGTGGTTTTCCTTGCTCAACATTATGAAGCGATTAGCTATGATTAAAATGTGCTCCCTAAAATCATGGAAATCAAAAGTAAATAGAATGATCGAAAAAATGAAAACCGAACATAAGAGATTAGTGTACACTGATCACACAAACCGAAGGGGAGAGTTTAGCTCAGTCCAATTAAAACAACTATGATCCAAGCACCGAAGTGCCGTAAGCCCAATTGCCACGGCGCAGGATGCCAGATTAGGAAATGCGGTTGAACGCAAATAGAATAGAAAAAAATTGAACAAATAACGAAGTTCGTAAAACCAATCGAGATGGAGTGGAAACAACCAGCTAGATGCAGAGTCAAATGGAGAAACACCGAGGACTGCGCTACTGCGTCATGTCCGATAGGGTCCTGAACCAATCATTGGCACCATCCCACCGTCCATGAGGACGCACGCACTACCCTGTCCCTCAGGCAGTTCCTTCATGCCTCGTGGTTTCGCCTAACTTGATGCAGCCACGGCGTGTAAATATATAAAATATACAGAGCCGGCGAAAACCATGAAAAGGAAGTAATAAATACAGAAACCACAAAGAAAAGAATGAAAGTTGCAAAGAAGTGTTTTGTTATTGAATCTTGTCTTTTTGATTTTTTGTCTGTTTAATGCTTGCGATGTAAAACAAGAAAATCAAGACAGACATTTGTACTCATTTTCCATTGGGCCCGGTTCTGCGCTACCTCCGAAAGAATTTCTAGCCAGCGGTGTTGTTCATCTTTGATCCCCCAGCCCGAAGATGCACGGGACCTAAGACAGCTAAACTGGAAGTTAGCGCTTTAATCGTTTGTCGCCATGTGATGGGCTGACCACCGCGCGATTTCTTCCAGCCTGGTCTTTTGCGAGCGAAGACAGCGCATCGGGGCAGCCATTTGCTTGGCATGCATAAAACGTGGCCCGGCCATCTCAGTTGGCGTAGCGGTACCAGTCTCTCAAGTGGAATCCCCGTGTTACCCAAGACGCGACGTCTAACATCATGGTTGCGCACGTGGTTCATCCACCACACTCGAGCATACGGAGTGCGTGACCTATCCAACGTAAACGGCTGAGATTTAGAGCAAATATTTCGGCGAGGTATCAGAATTTATTACCAAAAACCAGCTGGCGGACCATAGAATTGCTCACCCGGTATTCTTGCCCGATGTGAGCAATACTTCGTAAACGTAACGGTGGTCAAATAGGGCCAAGTGTACAATGTGTTCAATGCGAACAGCTTAGGTCTCTGATCGATATATAACGAAAAGCAGATTTCTATGTCTCCACAAATGGTCGAAGCTCTGAAATGTCACACGGGATGTGACACAGCAACCACCATAAGCAAATCGATTCACCACTTCCATTGGCTCCTAAGCTAGTAACTGAAACCGATGGCATATCGGTCCAGTCCCGCAACAGCATTGCACTTTGGAGGTGTACATCTACCGAAGGGTGCATCGATACCCACCAGTCTATTCACTAGTGTTTGCGTAGTCACTCGCCAAACCTAAGGAGAGCTATGTCGTTCGCATACTTCTGGTTTGTCAGTCGGTCACGTAGCAGAATTCCCACTATGGTAGAGTCCGTAAGAACGGAGTCACTCATTTTGATTTCAGTAACAAAGTTGAAGAGGAAAGGAGATATAAGACAACGCTGGCAAACTCCACTTGTCGTAGAAAACTCAGGAGATAGTTTCCGTTAGACACTTACACGGCATAGGGAGTCGCGCGCGTCACGGATAGGCAGGGTCACAATCCAGCACGATCGACGGAGGAGAAGGCGGATTCCAGGTCAATGAAAACCATCAGTCGGTTGTCCGTAATTGTGTCTCTAGACCTATGCTTGGCGAGGTGCATATATGTGATCGATGTAACCACGACTAGGGCGGAAACCAGCCCGATGTTCAACGGATCGGCTCTCATGAGGGCCAGTAAATGGTCGTTCCATGGTGTTGCGGACCCGCTGAAACTCGGTACCCCTTAGCACTTGTTTCCGCGCTTCGGTCAACCTGTTCGATGCCTCAGAAATCTAGTAGGAGTTAAAACTTCTCAAACTGAGTGTACATCAGACGTCAGAAGCACTTTTCATGGCACACTTGAGACAATTCCGGTCAATGTTTGGCTCAGCAACTTCATTCAAAATTGACAATTAGATATAGTTATATTGCAGACTGCAAGTTCGTTACAAGCAAAAAGATTAGAGGTCAGACGCTTCTATGAAGTGGGAAGAGTGCGTGTACCAGAGCATGGTCGGAATCCAGGCACATGTTCCAAATTGACCGACTGACATGTGCCACCTGTAGCTGATGGCAATAGGGTCAATTTGAATCCAGGTCATTGAGGGATTCGATTGGCGACAGGTGACGCAGTGTGAATGTTTTGTGCTGGAAAACAGTGCTGCTAATACCAAGATTGTGGTCAGCGCTCAGTTGGAGGGATTGGTCACCATTGTCCGTTCGGCGAGCATCGACCCCAAGGCGAGTGCACAGGTGTTGTGCATGGGCTAAAAAATTGACCCACTTGAGTATTCAAGTCACCAGCAACAATCACGATGTTAGTATTCTTTGTCATGTGAAGAAAAGACGAGAGTTCAGGACAGAAATCGTCCTTCATACCCCCCGCCCAGACTCCAGTCAGTGAGGGCATAAACACACACATACATACGCTATGTTAGCTGAAGATGAGGAATACCTCAGCGATCGTTCCATAATACACAAAGATATATGAAAATATGAGATACGATACATTATAGGATAAGAAATAAAAACAAAAAACAGGTAATATAGTGTCTAGTGTGAGAGCGCGTTCGGTGAGGAAGATAAGTTGGAGGGGGAGAGACAAAAAACTCACAACAAAAACGCGTATGAGGTCGGCACTTCGCCATATCAGCAAGTGTGTACAAACAAACGTTTTCATCGTCCATAGGGACCCCAGCCCGGCAGTCGGGAGACGCCAACCGACGCCAAGTCTGAAGTTAGGGACTTCATTGCTCTTGATTAAATCATCCCTTAGCCTCCCCTCCTCTTCCTTTTCCAACCGCACACCCCAGTCGCGCAAACGACGCACGACGCGAGAGTCGGTGTGTTGGCATGCGCAACAGAGCCTAGCCACCAAGAGGGGTGCATGAGATAACGGTGCTGAGCGGTTAACTCGCTCTACCTGCACCAAATACACGACGCCGTACACACTCATTGATTACGATGTATTTCAACCAGATACGAGCTAAGCTACGAAGACAGCGATGGTCGAACATAGCTAGCCTCTTTATGTCGGTCGACCTAATGGGCAAGCTTTCGTAGACGTGCAGGACGGACTGCTGCGTTGTAAATTCGACCCTTCAGAGCGAGATGTCATGCCGGCGCACCAGGTGACGGAGAATAGCAAAAGCATCTCGAGGTGCTTTTGCTTTACGGATCATGACTTCATCTTCTATTTCACAGGCGCTAATGCACTTGCCCAGGAAATTAAAGTTCTTGACGACTTCTAACTGATTACAACTAGGAGTCAGCGCAGGGGTTGGCCCCTGCCAATGTTGAAGAAGTAATTTAAATTTCGAAAATGCAAAGCAGAGCGTGAAACGATTTACAGTAAATGCTAATTTGTCCAGTTCTGATTGGCACATACAGGAGCTGTCGACGGCGTACTCCAAGTCAAGAAGTCGATTACCTGGGAGCAGCTACACACCCAATTTGTGCTCAGTGAACGCAGTATACAGGACTTCGTCAATGGCGAAGTTAGAGAGGAAAGTTCACAGGTGGCAAGCTTGTTTTACACCGTTGGAGAAATTAAAAGGTGGCAATAGTTTATCATTAGCTCTCCACTTGCCCGAACTACCAACCCAAAGCGCCTATGATATTTAAATATTTACCGAACAAACCCTTCCTGGGCAGTCTCAAAGGGCACATCGAGCCACCCAATCGAAGGCACCTTTGATGTCGTGGAACACGACTACAGTGGGACACCAACAAGTATGGCGGTGCTCCAGCAATTGCAAAGATGCGATTTATACGACATTGGTTTAGTGAGCTACCAAACGAAGATCCAGCAATCCATGATGTCGGTGTCCATCAAATGGATTATAATGGTCCATCGGGGCGGATGATAAACAGAATCTAGTAAATTTTTGCAATAATTCGGAATACCTATAGCTCGGTTTGACTGGTCCTGTGATCTGAGAAAGATGACTGCACACGTTCCGCCACTAATCGAGGTGGCATCTTCAGTGGGTAAGAATAAGTACCTTATGATTTTTTTATCGGAAAAACGGCTGCCAGGAAATAACATATTGTATACTAGGATATCACCGCCCAGCTGACACCACGAGGATTTAATTGAGGAACTCCAACCGTGTAAGTGTGTACTTTGATCAGGAAAGAGCGTTTGTATTTTTGTTGAAACGCGTTGCAACGAATTAATGGTTGTGCAAGATCTAAATAAGATGCTGACCGACCTCGAGAAGTGAATCAGAGAGAGGTGGAAGACTAGTGACACAGTTCCTCATCATAGCATCGATCGGCGGGAATTGAGATTTTCATCCAGCAGACTCAATAATTGACAATTAATACTAAATATGCATGGAAAGAAACGGCGATCTAGACAGTACCGGCAAGTCGAGCTCAATGGCGTTGTCAGGGGATCTGTTGCTAAACCGCAACAGACAGCCAGAAGATGGTGGACAAAGACAACGGGCAGTAAGCTAATGAAACACGACCACTCACCATGATACGTTCGGGGTTGGCACGAGTGAGGCGGAAAAAGGAAGACGCGGCCTCCAAGTGCATGGCTTGCACACACTTCGGACGCCCAAAGTCTGGAGAAGTGGAGGCTTCAAATGGGTTGTACCGAAAGCATGCAAATATCTAAAACAAAGTAGTGGCGAGACGAAAACACATGATACTCAACCTCATCAAGGGTTTTAAAGAGCGATTGGCTAACACAAGAGTCCGGCGCTTGAGTGACAAGAGCCAGGAAGAGCCACTGATGGGGACTTGACAGAGCTGATAAATATGCGCCAATGCGACTTGTATGGACAACGCATGGGAAAATTAGTCAAAAGTCCGTATCAACGTTCGCCGTGGCTTCTTCCATTGCAGATGTGTACGCGTGGAATATGTCACATTGAATGCTAGGGTTGTGGGCAACATTGGTCAGCTTCGCGTCTTCATAACCAGATTCCTTGGCTCCATCTCTGCGCATAAAAAGCTTAGACATCTACAAGCCCGACTGATTCCAGTGTTGCAGTCCTATGAACACATTACGTACCAGTTACCATTAGTGTTCCCTTCATCGGGACTAGAATTCTCGTCATAAACACCAGAGAGCAAAGACTGAAAACATTTGAGTGTAATATAGGAATTAATGGGTTCTGAGAAGACTCGTCGCAGTTGTACTCGGCAAGACAGCCACCACACATGTTGGAAAGCGTTCGAAGGCCGTTTCATCCTATCTGGATTCGTCAATAGCGCGCATCTACCGGATCCGAACCAACGACCTTACTATCACTAGTCAGCGACTTATGCTACGGAGCCATGGGTGAGGGTGACGGGCCGTCACGACAGATATCTAACGGCGATATAGAGCGGCTGATCCTGAAATATCATGCATGTATTGAACGTGTAGAAGACAGGGCTGTCATCAAGAGCGGATGAAAGACTTGCGTCGAATCTCCTCAGCACTGGATTTTATGAGGATAAAATTGATGGCACCAGAGATTGATCAAGCCATCCAGTTGGAGTGTGCCTCGCACCGTCAGAGTAAACCGTTTGTTTATTTATCCACCTACATCGATTGTTCAATTGATTGTGCTATTCTTCATGTCTACAGGTTCCAGGAGAATACCACCTAAGCAGAGTAAAAAAGTAGTTAGACAACTTATTTGGCAGGCTACCAACTTGCGCTGTTTCTATAAGCGTTGGACCACTGGCCCTAATCCAATCATCGATCACAACAGACTCTCTTAAGATCCATCTAGATATGTATGGCTGGCACCATCCAGTTCAGGATTGACCTGTCAATGCGGCCTCCATGTGGACAGCCACAGGACGCCTATGTGCCTACTGAGGGACAATGGGTGGCGTGCGCTGCACCACCCACAGCTTCATACACACACCCAGTATACAGCGTGAACATGAAGGAATAAGACCAGGAGGCATGTGGACTGGAGCCACGTTTCATCAACGGAGCCGGTCCACACAGCGGATTCTCCAAGTCCAACTTTGAATTCGCTTCCGCTGTACAAAACGTTGCTCGCGGATCTCAGTGGCATAGTGCTTATGGCGTCAACCATGAGCCACTAGGCTCTGAGTTCCAGCCCAGCTCAGACTATCTCCACCTGATGAGTCCAAACCAGGACGAAACCGCGGTTGTGGGGTGCCAATGTTGTTTCCGGTCCACACTCCTTCACAAGCAGAAGCAATCACGCTGTAGTTGGGAATAAAACGCACACAAGGCGGTGGCTGGACCGTAGTCCGCTCCACACTGGATAGAACTATACTTCAAGCATAGCACAGCCACGAGGACCGTGCACCCCGTCCCCTCCAGCAACGACCAACTGTCTCCTGGAGCCAGTATCGACGACGTGGTGGGTAACAGACACGTAGACACGTTGTCAACATGCACATCAAGCGCAGATACACCGGGGATGTCAAGCAACGGCCATTCACTTGAAACGCCGATATCAAATAAAAAATCGAATCATGCATACAGATACGGTGAAATAACTCTTCAATAAATGAGCAAATTATTTACGAACAAATCCGCGATAAGCTCAAGAAGTCAGAAAATATATTTTAGGAAAATGCCACAAACGCGAAAACGTTACCGGAGTTAACTACAATTAGCTTAAGCGAGGTGTGCAAGTTTACAGTAGTACAGGAAGACATTAATATGAAATAAAAAGCATTAGGACAATATAGCAACCCCACCGCCTGAAATAAAGTGACTCAGCATGTAAGCACGCGATTAGTAAATCGGATGCAGCGTACCTACAAATGCTGCGCCGATTCTGCCTACGTTCACTGCAAGAACCACCGTTGCTTCAGTGTTGTCCCCGAGTGGCATCGCACATGGCTCACAAGGCCTGCCTGACTCAGGCATTCGCGAACGCACGTGCTACAGCAACATGCGCTCGCTGTCGGTGGAGTACAACCCATCGGCGTCTGTCGCTTCAGCAACTGCCGCTTTTTCTCTGCATGCACGAGGGCTTTCTCTTGCACATCAGCAACGGCCTTCGTGAATAGATCGCGCCATGCATGCCGATCAATCGCCTTCGATTCCCATGACCTGCAATCAAGATTAGAACGTGGGAGGCATAGTTTGGTCATGGCCCGGTGACGAAGCTTCCTTTCCCCACATGCCGCTTCTCCAAACTCAGTTGACCATACAATAGCTGCTTCAGTATCCGCGTCGAGTCCATACGCCACACATGACCGAGCCACATCAGGTGTCTCAGCAAGAGTATGCAATCTACTGTATACATTCCACTACGGTGCAACACTTCCGTGTCCGCAACTATGGGATGGCTTGCCGGATGGCTTGTCTTAGGCGAACCCTCATCAGGCGCGCACTGATGCCTGTTGGTTCACCCACCAGCTGGCCCTTTAGGCGATCGGATATTGCAAATCCGACCCTAAGTTCATTTGGTGGTGATGGTGCGTTGTCCACCCAGTAGCATGTGTAGCCAGCACCTGCTTCCTGCAACTTACCTTGCTAAGCGAGCTGAATTTCACTGAGGGACGAAATATCGATGTTGTAGCGCGTCATTTGCATCGCGACCAGTGCAGTGCGTCGCTCGGGGCGCTCACTTGAGTTCCGGTCCAGTGGTGTGCGCACGTTAAGGCACCCGATGCAGGCATACGATCGCACTGTTGTGCAACTGCACCCGAGGTGGCGGTTGTGCTTCGGAGGTCTGCTTGAGGGACTCCGCCCGGAGCCTTTGGCTCAATAGCCTGACCCACAAGGCAATGGGAGCAGACCCAGCTCGGGAATGTGACTGGAGAGACAGATCGGGATCTGCTTGAGGTCCATCACACGCAGCCTTTGGAGATTTAGAACAATTCCTATGTTTTGCGACAGTAGTAGGATACGCACCTGCGACTGCGGATAGACGCAGGTGAGTTTTGGCGGGTTTGCATCAATTTGACCAGGGGCTGCCTGGCTTGAGGCAGACAGCAGCAAACCATTGAGCATTCGGAGAGGCCCTCCCAACATCAGAGACCATGCGTGGCGCTCGTGCTCTACGCCAATCGAGCTGTAAGCTTATAACCCGTAGACCGGTTATCTCCCATGACTGGGTTTTACGGGAAAAGGGCCATCGACCACTTCCTAACCTCCGAAGATGATGGACTAGGATACTGGCAGGGCGCCCACACCTGACAGGAGAACGACTCGGGTCCTCAGCTAAAGCATTCGATTAAATGTACATCCAAAAGGCAGCGGGTTTAGCACATGGTCAGGCCTGATGGAGCTTTTGTGTCAAAAGCGAAGCGTTGTCTATCACCGTAAATACATTAACCGGTCGTCTACCAAGTTTTCTGAAAGGATGACTTCCCGATCGGTTCCAAATATGTTCCAAGGTATTGAATGGGCATTCTCATTAACAACCAGAACTTACTCGATAATCCCCCGAAAAAGGACAAGGGCATACACTTTAGATCCTTCGTTTACAAATAGGCATTCGCATGTTAAGCAGATCGAGTACAACGGTTGCAGCATTTGGAAATGCAATCTCTAGTTCAGAGTTTCTTCGTCAAAGCTTATCTGAAGAAATATGGGAAGTAGGACTACGCCCTATTAAAAGTTACCTCCTGACAAAAAATATAACCCTGTAGTTCGATGTTGTCTTCTACAGCTTAGACCGGATAAAAGTATCGCCGCCGTGGGTGGACCTACGGCGTAGTGGATTTGGGCCTGACCGCTATGCGTGCCACCAGTGTTAGAACTCAGGTAGCCTGCATTACATTGGCGGTTAACTAGCATACTTGAACCTAAAAACCATGCCGCGTGCACTTAATCCACACTAAATGGCACGGACGAACACCTAATCTGCCTCTTAGTACCTTAGAGCTATGTAGGCACCGATTTTCTGGGTCCTTTCACCTCTCGTTCCGCCTCCTCCCATATTATAAGGGTACAACAAGCGTCACGATAACCTGTCTGTCTTGTCTTAACTCATTCCGATCAATGTGCACGTAGTGGTAAGTGCGTGTTGTATGAACGCTAAGTGATCCCGTAAAAAAACGCAACTGCACCTCGGACACCAATACGCGGGCTATGACACGTGGCGTCCATTTCCACGCCGCAGCGTCCAAGTCAGTGCGCAGCCGTGACAAACCGTGAACAAACCACTCGCTCGGCGTAGTGATGCATTGATCCCATAAAACGAACAGCTGTGCCAAACATCTTTGGCATTTTTTGACCGTAAAAGAACTCCCAATGGTCCGCCTCGCCTTCTAGCTTTCCGTTTGTGCAACTGGTATGGATTTGCGTGGGTTAAGTGAGCATGCCGGCCGGCTTCGCGTGCTTCGTAAATGCGACTATACCAATTTACACGCATGTCAGCGCATTGTACCAAGCTTTCAGCGTGGCACATTTTCGAAACCGCGTGCAGTGCTTTCAAGTTAGCGAGGCTAAGAACGCTGTTTTGGCGTTGTTGACACCGTCATTGGTCATGGGATGTTAGTCAAAGGGACACCGGTTGGAAACCCCCAGCATAAGCAACAGACAGTCCAATGAAAGTGGTCGAGCACCACCTCCTGTTCCATTTTGATGCCTATCTGAAGGAAACCATGCTAACTTGAAAGCACTGCACGCGATTTCGAAAATGTGCCACGCTAAAAAGTTAGTACAATGCGCTAACATGCGTGTAAAATGGCACAGTTTCTCGGAGGAGTGTCCATCGGTTCGTCTGGTTTCGTGGACACACAGTGCGTCGGCCGATCCGTGCGTTGACTAGAGACCGTGCGACAAGCGGATAAGCCATCGCGTTCAAGTAAACAGTACAATTTATTACAACGCGCCAGACAGCATATAAGTCTAAGCGCACCTCTAGCTTTTCCCTTCCCAGATGATTGCCGGAAATCCCCTTCCGTTTAAGGAACACATTTTTTAAACAGCCAATCCTGCTCCGTTAACTCCAACACATCAGTTGGGAGTTTCGCTTGATTACTCTGCACAAAATCAAATAGATATATTATTGAGGTAAAGTGACTTCAACAAACTGGACACCCACACATTATGAATATTATCAGCATAGTACAGTGGTCAACATGCATTTTAACAATAAAACGGAGCCAGTTTCTAGGGTACATGTTTGATGTTGATTCCAAAGCTAAGCCTCATTATGTTTCATCAGCTCTCCTTTTTAGGATGCGCCTAATATTGATGATAAAATTGGAGAATAAGAGTAACAGTATGTATAACACAAATAACATATATATATATATATATTGTAGATACGAGAAACTCGCCGTATCACAACATTGCAAAATCGCTAGCATCCATAGTGGATCCTAGTAGGAAAAAGATAGTCCCTCACTTTCTGAGCGAAACGTTCCAATTTGTCGAGTGTCAAAAACATAAACATACTGGACTATCACATGCACGCCCTGGACGTCGTAGCGCTGTTTACAAAAGTGCCGCTATTAGAAACCGTAGATTTTCCTTGCTCCTTCATTGACCGACAAAAGCTAAGCATAAAGATCCCAAGTGGTCAGCTCAAGCAACTTTTGCGCAGATGCACAGACGACGTCCAGTTTCAGTTTAACAAAGAAGTACACAGGCAGATAGATGGAGTAGCAATGGGGTCGCATCTCGGGCAACTATTGGCAGATGTCTACATGGGGAGACTGGAAAATGAATCGCTGTAACCGGCCATTACAACCTACAAGTCCAATCGACGTTATGTAGCCGACATTTTCTGCATACTGGATCGGAGGACCAACTTGAAAAACGTCGTCGAACGTTTCAACAGTGCACATCCCAATACCTCATTTACAGCTGAAGAAGAAAGCAACAAGCGTCTGAACTTTTTGGAGGTAAATCTAAAGAGAGTCGACGGATCAATCCAGTTAGGACAGTACAGAAAACCATATTGGACGGGGTAGGATATACATTTCTAGAACTTTGTGCCCATCAGCCGCAAAAGAACACTGATCCATACGTTGACCGATAGTGCGCAAAAGATCTGTAGCCAAGACACCATTGCAAATGAACTGGAACGAATCAAGTACACACGACTTTAGAATGGTTATCCAGAACGCATTATTGACGCACATTAAGGAGTAAAGACCCGAAGCCAACAGTAAAAACGGTTGAGCAAAAACAGACGTTGCTTAAGATCGTTTTTAAGAGTGACAAAACTGCTGAGATTTTTACAAGATGATGTAAACCTGCAGGAATACCTTCAAGGCAGCTGAAGTCGATGTGATCTATACCAGCGAATCGTTGATTGTCCTTACATTTAAAGACAAAGTGCCTGATCGACTCCAACCAAATGTAATACACCGATTCACCTGGTCCTGTGGAGCTAGGTATACTGGACGTACGACCAGGCGCTTAGAAAATCGAATCAAGGAGCACCTACCGAATTCGCTCACCAACCGCAGAGACAGATCTAATCTAAGTGCAATTACTAACCATCTGATTGCCACTGGGCACAACACTGACAAAAGTAGTGCCTTCGAAATCCTGTATAAGGTACCGTCACACTTGACCCATCAGTTAGCAGCACGACTGCTTGCTACTGCTGAAGCAGTAAGCATAAGACAGATGAAGCCTAATCTCTGCATCCAAAAGCACATTCAAGCATTACAACTTCCATGGCCATCAACCACACGAGAGGGATTTGCTGCCGCCCACCAATCCCACGTCCTGCCAACCACCAGACCAGCTGACGCTTATCACGAGAACTGCTTACGTTTAAAGTTATCTAATCACTAATGTGTCACTATGGTTGGCGGCATCCGGTTTCGGATTTGCCTGTCACTGTGGCAAGCCACAGGTGTGTCACTATACTGTCCCACAAACCTGCTTATTCATAAGTATATTTCGGTACTAGGCCTGAGGAGGAAGAAATCGAAAACAATAACCCGATCTAAGCGTTCTGCTTACGTTTCTTTTCGGGTTTGACAACCAAATAGGCATTCTGCACGAATATATATTAATATGTATATATATATATATATATATATATATATATATACGGATTTATAGCAGTAGTTTTCAATGTCCATATTGAAGCGTTACACAGGAAAACTAGTGAGATGAACGACTCAAACGATATTTCAATAAGGAGAGCTGATACAAATAAATTAAGTTACATTTGAATTCGGGGCACCACATATACCACATATATACTTGCTTTGACAAAACACTAAAATTTTGTAGGGCAGTGTTATCAGACTGGCATATAAATACTCATCTGTGATATTTCAAGCGAAACCGACCAGTATGTGACCAATGCACAGAAAACCCCGTGAATAACTGATCATGCCTGCTCAGGCGTGTCTCGTGTAAATCGAGAATAATCGTTATCTATTACTTTATTTATAACTGGCTCAAAATTCAGCGACCATCGATCAGTGGCACATAGGCCTCTAAAATCCGAAAGCCCAATGAGTTAATTTGAGTGTCGAGCCCGAGATGTGTAAATTCCGAAAAAACCCATCCTCTCGGACCCGCAGTGAACACGGAATCATCAATGAAGGCAATCACGAACACGATATGCTGGATGGTGAAAAAGAGTTAATACTGCTCCAAAGTCAACTGACTACATCCTAATTAAAGAACGTGTTCAGGATGTCAGGTAATAGACTTACTCAAAGGCTTTCGAGACGAGTTGAGTGTGCTATCAATATGGGGGAGAGAATCATGGTTAGTAGTGTATTGGGGGGACTTTTTGGGTTTTTGAGGAGATTTTTCGCCATTACACACCCCTAGTGGCCATCTGAATGAGTTTGGCTGCGAAGAATCTTTTCAAAAACACAATAAGCCCCCTAATACTCATTGAAAATCAGTCAGCGCCTAAGGAGCTTACATACCACTTCAATTGGTGGCGGTTTGCAAAGGAAGTCGTTGCACTGGAGACTAACCCTGTCCTCTACACCCTCATAACACGCATTGCAGTGGAGGATGAGCCGCGTTATATCGCAGTTAGAGATATCAGTCATGGCGATCCACCGCCGTCACCCATGGCTCAGTGGCATAAATCGCTGGTTCGCAACAGTAAGGTCGTGGGGTCGAATGCGGCAAGATTCGGAGTTGCGCGCTACTTACGAGTCCCAATGGGATAAAACAGCCGTCTAACGCTATCCTTGATGTGTGGTGACTATCTGCCTGAGTCCGGTTGCGACGAATCTTCTCAAGAACTATGGTCATCCCATTCGGATCGAAGCGAACAATCAAACGACGGCCATCAATCCTCCGTATCATGAACCCGACGACATACCACTGAGTGGGAGGATATCGGCCGGTGATTGCGAAACCATGGACACGGTGAAAAAGATCATGCCACTTACTTGGGTCAATAATGGAATCAGTAATTCAGGATCATGAGTGGCATCTACATATTGAATGGCAATGGAGCAACAAGCCAGATACTTTCCACGTAGACTGGGATGTTGCGACGGTGGAACCTGCAGATATTGCCGCACCATATCGCCCATTATCTGACGGAATCGATCCGGCTGGCCTGCAGTAGTAAAGCCCCCCTTGATACCAGGTAAAACTTGATCGAAGAGGAGTTCGAGAGTGTCCCAATCGGAGGCTGCGTCATCGATAGAGGAGTCATGTATTTTTGGTTCCCGTGAGTCTGTGAAAAGACAAAAAAATAGATCGGGTGAATTTGTTAGCATTGGATACAAAAGGAAAAAAGTGGGGAAATAATATGAATTGGAAGAGGATAGACGTCGAGTTGATGAGACGGTTGCACGAGATGAGAGAATATCAATCAATAAAACTAATCTGTTTAAGCACGAGAAAATGTCAGTGTCTCAAACGTATGGCATCAACAATAGGCTAAAAGGTAAGAAGGTATCAACGATTCACAAGAACATCTTACGAATAAAGATTCGCTGCCAAGAGGTCGCAACCGATTGTATGTGGACCGAGATGCTTCTGTGGTATCAAAAATTAGTCAAAAAGGAGGAAGCGAATCCGGGAGCAGCAAGTCAAGTGTTCGAATCGACTCACCAGATCTCATAAAAACAAACAAGAAAGCGATGCACTTGTTAAAAATGAGAAAGGGGAATTCTTACCAGTGATCGCTGAAGTTGCTTTGACGAGATCCATGGAAAATGAGGTAAGCAGCTGGAGTAGTTGAACCGGCCAGTGGTCCGCGGCCAGACTCAAACAACGAGTCATCTCAGTTCGATATTCTGGAGAGGGACGAAGATAAAGCAAGTGTCAGCAAATGGTCGACGAAAACAGCCGAAAAATGTAAGTACTCGTTTCAAAAGGAGTGTAAATGCATCTACAGGTCCCTGGCTCAGATTCCAATGTAGATGAGTACATATTTTCCGGCTTAGGCGACATCGACCCGATGGTCGCACATGCGTTTATGGTGTTTCAGTTAGGGAACATTCTGAATCCAATTTGTGAATTGAACCCAATGGATGACAACATAAAGGTCCTGCTGCAACTCGAAAGCTCCGTCAGAGTCAACCAGTACCGCCCGATGGTGTGATGCACTTCGGTGTAAGTCCCCAATAAGTGCGACAGATGAGACCGCCAAAGATGATTTCAAGTGAACTCCGAACTGGGATTTAGAGGTCGTCTTGAGGTCGATGCGTGCTAGACTGTTCAGATTGACCACCGAAACCCAACTATGCACTGGCCGCAAGCTTACTAGCAGCAACACAGCAGTCCAACAAAGAAGTTCGCGCAGACCCCCCCCCCGGTGCCAATCAAAAGAAGCGGTGCAGTGCACTCAAGTCGGCGCCCATCACTGCAAGTCTGTTGGTAGATCTGGGAAGCAGAGTTGGAAACCGGTCCTACCTCAGCCAGCGAATGCATATTGCCCATCTCTATGGTCTCAGCAAGGCGTCCAAGTTAGGAAGTGCGTAACCGCTATCTGAACTCAACTTGAAAAACAGCGCTATCAAGCCGTGCCAGGTCCTCGGTGAAAATTTCCGAGTGAAGCAAAAGAGCCCGATGCAGGCTACTAGTAACTGGATTGGGAAATAACGAGGGTGACAGAGATCACCTGAACACCTGACTTGAAGCGCCCGAATTACGGAGAGGTTCGGATTAAACTGAGCAAGGTAAGTTCAATTGATTCAAGTGTTCTTGCAACTATCGTAGAGCGCACAAGAAGCTAATTTCAAGAGTAATTCCTCTCTAATTCGCAGCGCAAACACACCAGATTAGTACCCCATTTTGTGGGTTATAGATATTTATATTCCCAAAACTGAACGTAGTTAAGTTGAAGCATTGGCGTATATCCTATGTTTCAGTTATATAATTACCTTATCGGTCTGCCGTTAACTTGTAGATTAAGTTTCACCTGAAGGACAAGTTGCTGATCCATCTCAGGAGATTATTTATTCCCTCACCACTAATATTAACAGTTCAAAAAATCGAACAATATTCGTTATTGCGCCAAAGTTTCCCTCCGCAGATATTCGTACCATAATTGCTTACCACTTGAAAGGGAACTAGATTCTGCTTCTCCAGTTACCATAGCACCTTTCCAATTTGACGCACACTACCTATACCAGCTACTTTACAGCCCACTTCGCATTTATTTTGGAGTTACAAATGAAACAACTCAACCGTATTGGGGTTCATTATCATGCCTTTTCAGCTGCATTCGGTAGCTGCGGATGTTGAATTATCCTTTATTTCAGACAACAGAAGCCCTTACTTGGAAGAGACAACATGGTGGCTTTGCAGGTAGTATCATCTTTCGAGTGCATGCTTATCTCTTCGGTCAACGTGACATACTGGCAGGAACGTTTTCCGAAGCTTTTTCAGCAGTCCATCGAACGTATTCCATGTCGGGTGCACCATATTCAGCTGAAGCGGGATGCGAAACCCGTTGCTATTGGTCGACCTCGGCTCATTCCGTTAGCAAAACGTCAAGCTGTCTCAGCGACCCTGCAAGAGATGCTAGCAAATGATTTGATGGAACCCATCGACAGCTCTGAGTGGGTGCATGCAATGGTAATTGTCCTGAAAAAATATGGCACTGCAATGATATATGACGATTTCCAGGGACTAAATAAGCAGATCGTCGTCCAGCGATCCGTGTTGCCAACCAACGAAGAACTCACAGCACTTTTAGCTCGTGCAACCGCTTTCTCCAAACTAAATTGAATAATCGTATCCTTCCATAGGTCATTGGTCAAGTATTCGAAGCATCTTACCGCCTTCCTTGCTCCCGATGGCTTGTTTTATTACAAAGTATTGCCAATGAGCTTGAGTTCTGCGCCCGCTGCCTGGCAAAAGTTCATGACTCACGCCATGGCAGGTATTGAGGGGCAGGTTGCATACATGGATGATATCTGTGTTTTCGGTTGCTAACAAGAAGAGCACGGTAAAAGGTTACACAAGGTATTTCGAGGTCTCAGTGATCTTGGCTTACGTCTAAATGCAAAAAGATGTCTGTTCAATGCACCGGAGATTCAATTTTCGGGACATATCGTAACGAGTAACTGCATACGCCCAAGTAATGAAAATATTCGGGCCATCACAGAAGTGTCAACACCAAAGAAAGTGACGGAACTTGTCTTTTTTTGGGAATATGTTCCTATGACCTGTGTTATTTGTAAAAATTTTGCAACAGTAGCAGATCCATTACGACAACTAACAACAGAATGTCGTACACTTGGGGAAGCGATCAGTAAAACGCTTTCGATGAAGTGAAAAGAAAGATTGCATCTGTTCCCTTAGTTGCTATTTTTGATGAATCTTGCCCCACTTTTGTGTCGACTGCTGTGTCTGACGTTCGTCTCGGTGCTGTTCTATCACAGCTACAAAACGGAGAGGAAAAAGTTATTGCTTACGCATCCCGGAAACTCTCAGATTTTGAGCGCCGTTAATCACTTGGGGAGAAAGAAGCTCTTGCTTTTCTGTGTGTTTGTGTAAAGTGGTATCTTTTCCTATTCGATCGTCGTTCCACTCTAGGAACTGGTCGCCGTCCTTACAGTCCTTCTAAGTAATGGATCTAAAAGATCGCGTCCAATGCGGATCGACCATGGCATGTTAGACTCCATATATACAATTTTCAAATTGTATAACAGCCGAATTTACAAAACCAGTTTGCTGATGGATTATCTCGCTTACCCGAGGGGCTGGAGGATGACAAGGAGAGACTCAGAGAGGCTGTATTAGTTTCCACCCTTGGCTCCGACCTAACAGCTTTGATTATCGAGGAAGTAGGAACGGAAAATTCCAACGGCCCGGTGAGTTCATCCCATCTTACGCAGTTCGAGATGAACTGTCAGTGATATATGGTTGTCTGATGCGTGGGTTGGTGTTTATAGCTCCACGTTAGTTGGTAAACAAAATAATTGCTGGTCCACATGAAGGTCACCCAGATGTCGTTCGGACCAAAAGCCGAGCAAACGCTACGTTTGGTCGCCACAAATGGCATTTAGCATTGAGACATTTGTGATTAACTGTAACGCTTGCCGCCTGGTGGACAAAAGTTCTCTGCCAGTTGAAGCTCCAATACAGCCTATTGCTTACCCGATGAAGCCGTGGGCTAGGATCGCCATTGATATTATGGGTCCTTTTGCCACCGATACTACGAATAAGAGAACTCCACTTGTAGCTATACGTTTTTACAGTAAATGTCCTGAAGTCCACCTGTGCGATCAAGTGTCTACTTCGGTTGTGTTTCGCTGGCCTAAACACTTGTTTCGTCGTTTCGGACTACCGAAAGAAATAGTCACGGGCAATGGACCACAATTTTGTGGTCGCGACTTCGCAGTTTTCCTCCAGTGCCATAACGTAAAACATTCCAGAACTGCATCTTACAAACCTGCGGCCAATGGCATGGTCAAGCGGTTAAATCGATCCCTCAAAGAAGCCATACGGACCATCCAATTAGGAGGGTCAGACTGGGAAGATGACGTCTTAACTGATATACTTTCTTACATAACTTGTAATTCCAGGGCTACCGGAACAACACCGATGGAGTTGATGTTAGGAACGCCCTTACATATCAAACTAAATGCTGCACATAACCTGTCATCTGCAAAATTCCTACGCCAGATCACTAACTCCTATGCAGCCTGGAGCATACGTTCGCTATGTCCGCACCGCTGCGAATCACCCAGAGTCTAGGTCCAGGAACCCAACGATAAGGAAAGGGCCTAGTTCCCAACGCACGTCGGTTGCACACCGCCCATGGACCAGCTACCCAGTTTCAAACTATGCGTAAGCATGAGGCCGAATCGCCGCTACCGCGAAGTCAGCCTCGCCGGTCTACCACACTTACGAAGCCTGTCGATCGATACCAGCCCGCGTGACGCGGCTCTTTAAAAGGGGTGGTTGTCATGGCTGATTCCACACTATGTCACTGTTTCATTGGTTGGCGAAAACACAACAACTTTCTTCTCATTGATTGTGTAAAATTCGGATGGTTAAAATTGCTTATTTTGTATATTTAGTCTGTTGCTCCTTGATTGAGTACGGATACACAAGCTGCCTTTTTGCATTCTTGATACAACAAGCGGATCGCGCGGCTTCCAGGCTAGAAAACAAGACTATCCAACCGCTCTCGTTTAATGTAGAGGTGTCTTCAGATTACTGTTGTCTACCATTGTCTGCATAAAAAATGGGGCATCAGCGTGAGAAACGTCAAAGAATTAGCACTATGGTGACTGCCTAATAGCTTTATTCGCTGAGCACCTGACGGCGGCTTATATGTATCAGAATGCCCGCAAGAACATAAAAGCTGCGAAGGGTAATGTATGGGATCAACTCGTATCCGTCAAACGCATTAAATTCGAACACCCCCGACTCCACTCATCTGCGAATCTCTTCCTGGATGTTGGTTAGTGGGTCCGTCCAGCATTGCTTCCGCGCTACGTACTAGTACACATCTATCAGTGGTGTCCGTGCGTTTTCCATGTGCCAGGATATTCGTTTGATCTCCAGTTGGCTCTTCACCGTTCGTATTACTCATTCCTATAATATTACTAAATCTTGACGTATTGGCGCGCATTCTGCTCACTACATAATGAAGAACGACGGCAAATCGTCCTCCGAATTCGACGTAACAAGTTGAGTGTATTCGAACTGTTGTATCTTCATTTTTAAACTTTACAAATCAATAGAGCGATAAAAGGAGTATATTCCTTTTATCACTTTGAGCAATAAAGTATATGTGGCATTCCTGGAGTTGGAATCACTAAAGAGGCTACTGTACGGACCCATAAGGTTTAAGTGTTGTCCCCCGACCTCAAATATCCATGGATACGATGCGATGTTAGCACACTGAGCAAGGTCGAAATGTGTAACGGTACAGTGAGTCCAACAGATCAAAGAGGTCACGACTACGAGCTGGGGATAGAGACGTCGTCTTTGAGCACGAGTGTCGCTGTTATCTATTGGGACACTGGAATGAGTAATGTTTAGGGACGTTAAGCGGTATTCAGTAACAAAACTTCTGGAACTGTACCAAGCCGTGTTTGGCAGTTAAAATGAATGTCCTACATGGCTATGTCCGTTGTGTGCCCGCTGACCACGCACGTCGGCCTGAATTGCATATCAGTGCAACGGCCGGTTGGGAAAAAAGCGTAATGTGGTCGGCCAATAACGAAGAGAAAACGCGTGAGCAAACGGATCAAAAGAATCGGCTGGGGCCGATGATGAACGCAGTCCCTCTGGATGGGGCACGTGGTAGGTCTACCACAACAGAGGTTATAAAATCAAAATGTGACTTTGGAGTGTCCACTGTGTGTTTGAACCGCAACAAGCCACTTGCATTTGTACCTCGGTTTACATTTCATTGGACTTCGCTCAAGGATCTGAATGGCCTGGTGATCGATGTGCAAGACGTCAACCATTACGCCCCGCGTCCCGCTCCCAAATCGGACTATCTCCACATGATCATCAACAGCATTATATCAGCCATCTGAACGGATGCTTCGCTGCCATACAACCAGGAGAGGCTACGGAACGAAGAATAATACGGGGTAGAGGAGGGAGACCTGGCGCAAAACCTTAATGCTCTAAACAGACATTTGGGATAAAAGCACCCATACTTTGTCAACAACATGCCGTCACAAACAGCCGGCTATCGTGCAAAGATAAGGCAGCATAAGCGAGACAGCTTTCTTGGAGTAGCAGACGCGCCACTGGTGCCGACTGCCAGTCATGTCCTGTAACAGCTCAAGCCAAGCACAAGGGTCACGTGGACACCAGTCTGGAAGGCGAGGCAGATCGACGGGACCAAGTTTGATCATCAGTGACTTCATTTCCAGCTGTCAAGTTGACTTTTGCTCACCTCGAGCCTTACGCCTCCCTACATCTGGCGAACAAAACAAAACCCTCCTCGGTAAGCGGGGACCGGGCATACGTAGTACGACATAAAGCTAACGCAACCTATTCAGTATTATTTGTTGTTCTAAGGAACTAGCCTGATTATCACTACCTAGCACACGCTTACACAAATCATCGTTGCGGACATGCTGGTGCCATCCGACACATCGATGCTTCGCAGGTAGCGATGATCGGAGATTTGAAGGCGCCTCAGATCGAAGGGGCAAAGTCGCAATCTGATGGAGTAGGACGGCCTTCACTGCGCTCTTGTAAATACGGCCTTTCAGATCGAGGTAAACCCCGTTCTGGCCACAAAGGTGCCCCAGATTCAAGAAGGTAGTTCTAGCTTCTGAAATACCTGAACTGTCTTCGTCCATCATTGTCGATGCAGCTGCGAAGATAAATGAGTTGTTAAACTACCTCGAGTTCCTGGATAACATGAGTCAAGTAGCTGGTGGTCCTGAAGCAACACTTTGCACTTTGAAGGTGCGAAGTGCATACCAAACGATGTGACCAGTTGACTGGGCTGCCCCGATATGGTTAAACATAGTCACATAATGAGTCCAAACGAAGAAGAAAGCGTCGGTCCTGGAGTGTAGGGTGGGGGCGAACAACATTGTAAACGCGCCTCTCCGGATACGGTCCCAGCGATCGGAATGACCGTGGCTGAAGAGTTGCACTGACATGGCACAGTTGTGACGATGTTGGTGTAGTTCCACTGGGCCTGTGACTTTTCTCGCCTAACTGCTATACCCTTTCGTTCTCTGTTCAATGAAACTATGTACTCGTTGGGCTGCGTTTGCTTTCCTCATTCATCTCCCACAATTAGTATCGATGATGTTCAGTAATATAGCGGCGTGTTGCACGGAGATTGGAGACATCATAGCTAGGTGTTCATGCGAGTATAGCTGACAAACCGTGTTACAAAACGGACATCATAAGCAAGTCGTGAACGACCAGATGTTCAATGAAACGAACTAGCAGGTCCACTCAAGACGAGGCCCCGCAAGTCATTCGCATGTAAGAAGACTGCACGGTTAACTGGACGGTGAACACAGCTTGATGTGAGGTCACGTGATCAGGCACAAAGTTTACAAGCATGACAGCAGTAGAAACAGGTTCGTAGAACACCGCAATAGATGAGTCACGACGAAAACTGGAAACAAAATCATTGGAAAAAGACACGCAGAAAGAGACATAATAGCGAAAGGACCAAGAGGGCAAAAAGAACGAGCTGCTGAAATTCATACTCTTAAACCAAACATCGTCTAGAGAAGCTACTGATAGCAAGACAACAAGGAACGTGGCGAGAACAATGTGCTTACTTGATAAGAGACCATAGTACTCGTCTGAGTCGAAAGCTCCACGCATCCATTGAGTGTAAGCGTTTGGCGCACGCGTGAACCAGTCCTGTGAACAAACACGTGTCATAATGAATGAAAGTGGACAATGTAGAGCCGTTCAGAAAAACACAAAATGCAGCGTGTTCCATACAGCCTTCTAACGAAGGGTCTTCTTCTTGTAATGGGGGTCGTGTCATTCAGCATCGAGAAACGAAAATGAAGGTCAAATGATGGTTTCCCAATGAAAGGGTACGTGAATAGAGCAGATTGGGTGGCCAAAAGATTCAGTTTGGTTGGAAAAAGAAATCGAAAAATTGGCAGAGAATCACAAAACAGAAAAGAGCTTGATATCCAAGAATGCATTTGTACAGTAATGTATATGCCACGAACACTTCAGTTAAGTTAAAAATTATGTCCGGGAGCCGAAGTGAACTGGATAGGCAGCTGCCGTGATTAGCGGGGTCGGAAAACGACTCAGGATGCAAACAGGATAAAAAGGAAGGTGGGAAATCATGGAGTAAAAGTAATCGGGGTGAACTATTAACAGGTGGATGCAAGAAACCTGATACAAGTGCAACTGACCACGCAACTGTGTCATCCGATAGGGTACCCCATCACTGAACTGTGGCCTATCCCGGGGCCACCATCTACGAGAACAGGGGGACCAGGTTGACCTAGTCCTTAGTTCAATTTCTCCATGTCTGCACGCCACTTTTATCGACTATTCACCTCGCGGTTCCGCCCCACCGGGTTCAGTGACGGCACATGAGGCACGCAAATGAAGGCAGTCGAGTATATTGATAACAGATATAAAGACATCGAAAGCCACGGAATAAATGTGAGCAATAAAAGCAGAGGTCACAAATGGAAAAAGAACAGAAGACGAAGCAAGTTTTTCTCTGGTTTTCCACATTTGTTTATCAATTTAATGACTGCGATAATGAAAAGTTAAAGCTAGACATAAATTCATACAAATGTTCAATTGGTCGCGATTTCGCGCAACGTCCTCAATCGTTTTAAGCCAGCAATCTTCATCCTTGAATCTCGAGCCCAGGCGTCGCACGTGACGGAAGATAACTCAACTGGAAGTCAGCGATTTGACCTTTTGACGGCATGTGGTAGGTTAACCGCCGTGCCATTTCTTCCACTGCGGTCCTGTGCCAGCGAATAAAGCGCGACATATTAATCACTCATACGGTATGACTAAACCATCTCACATGGTGCAGCGAAACAAGCCTGTTAAGAGGAACGCCCGCATTACCAAAGATGCGATACCCAACTTCTTCGTTGCAAAGCTGGTTTATCCCACCATACATAAGATATCCATGCCAAACCAACGTTATAAAAGCCCGGGACCCTATGCGTAGCATCCACACAGGCATAGTAGACTCTGCTCTTTATCGAGAGTGAAACGTCTTAACGACGCCACAGATGCCTCAGATTGGTGAACACCGATCGGCCTTTGGCAATATGAAAATAAACCTGCCTTCAAATGGTGCCATCTGCAGAGACGCGGCTCCCGAAATAAACAAGGCTATGCTCTGGTTCGAAACTGATAACTTCAAGAGTGAGCAATGAAGCAAGTATGCGTCAATCCGGCAGTAGGACATAGAATTTCGAGGGGGGCAAAGATCATGAAATACTTGCTTGGTTTAATCACTAAGTGGTTTGGGATGACCTGGTGGTTGCCACCGAACAAGTTGGTTTAATCAGTGTAGTCAAAGTCAGTCACCAGGTTGAGTGGAAGAAGTTCTACACCTGAACCTTGGAAGCATAGTTAAGCAGAAACGTGGTCATAAGATACACTTGTAGCACACATCTAGTGATGGCTAAAGGGAAAGAAACCTTACCGTAATACTAGAAAAATGGTGGTATACTTTTCGAGTACGTCATTCTTTTGCAGGCGATGACATAAAGCAAGCTGATCGACAGAGTCGAAGGTAGCTCGGATGTCACGGGGAAAAGCAACAATGGTAGGATGGCAGTAAAGGTGACAGGGGGCGGAAAATAGCATTCTCTTAACTTCAGTGTAGTTCTAAAATCGGAGGTTACTTGTCGAGTAGGATGAACGCTAACAACTTAAAAGCTTCCGGGTCAGACTGATTCCTTTATGATTGGCGCATAGGTCGCAGGTACTCTTCTAGAAGATAGGGACGATAACCCACTTGCAGTAAAAGGATGGAACCACTAATTCAAGATAAATCTTGGAGAACAGTTGTTACCTGGCTAACAATTAATTCGCCACCGTGAATGAATAGATCAAGAAGAAGTCTATGCGAGCCGGCAGTCTTGAGTCGCTTCAATTGTCTAGCCCACATGGTATACATTTGATTTGGTGGGTGGTTCCAAAGAAACGTACCAAGGTATGCGACTGGGTCTCCTGGATAGACAGGTGGACGGAGAAGGTCAAGAGTATTGAGAGTGGAAGTGCACAGCTCAGCGGTTTATGCGCCTAAGCGAATGAGTGATTCGTGATCTATGAACCTCACGAATAGCCAGATCTTAGGTATATAGTGGTCCGAATGATCTGGAAAAGCTCACCAATGTTTCCAGAAAGAGGTGCTATCTCCATCGCTGAAGCGCGTTGGAATCACCAAGTTCAGCAATCATTAAGCAGGCACAGTTTGAGTGGTTGGTTGAGTTTGCAGCGTAATCCACTGCCACTCCAATTGGCTAGGTCAACCTGATGACGGTCGTACAACTCGCATGAATGAGGGGAAATCCAATCCCTCGGGGGGCGAGAAGAAATCCCACAGAGTGATAAGCCGGAAGACAGCGTCGATTTCTGAAAGAAGCTCTAATGATGCTAGAGATTGCAGTTTAACACTAGTGAACAAAGCTGATAAAGATGATTCTCAGCTCAGTTGAATTGAGGGGTCAGTTAGTTTGTTGGTATCGAGCTAAGAGTACTAGGGTTTCCAGAGCCCCTCTTTGTACCAGCTAAAATGTGATCTGAGTTGTGGAAGATGGACAAAAGCAATTTGCAAGTATGTATGACACCCCGTTACTAGCAGCTGATTGCAATGTGACTGATCTCTAAACACGCTTCTCTGGAGGAGGACGCCAAGTAACCGAATGCTTCCTGATATAAATGAAGTTTGTTCTTGGGAGAAAAAGGTGGCCAACTTCAAGTACTGTGAGAAATCTATCCTTGCAATAAGAGCGAACTTCATATAGGGTAGAATCATCACCCCATACACTGAAGTCTCCAGTAAGGATAACGACATCAAACTTTTCAGCTTCAGTGAAAAACTGGTGGGGTCCGCGACAAAAGCTGTCCTTAACCGAAGCATATCCACAGTCGGAAATCACAAACAAGCCGAATCTGAGTCCACGATGTCTGTTGATCCTGCATGAGCCCAGAAGCCGGACTGCACATAGTCAACCGTGAATCGGGAAATAATCCGGCAGCGCGATTTCAGTTTTATCACTTAACGTGATGCCAACACCGGCCAACCTAACCGCAGCCTCTTCTGTGTCACCAAGCAGATGCATAAAATATTTGGTTATGGGATCAAGAGGATACGTCAAGCTAAGCAAATGTTTGGGTCCTGCAAACGTGTATCAAAAAGGCATTAAACAATGTTAATGAAGGACCATAGAATACGCATCAACCCACGTGCGAAGCACTTGCCATAGAGCGTAGCGGTACGGTTCAGCCTTTCCAGTAGTGCTATCATGGCCGCTGGGTACGACTAAAGAAGAGTTATGTCGTCAAGGTACTCAAGATTTGTTGGCTAATCATCCGTCGGAAACTTCATTCAAGAATAAACTGAGAAGTCAAGGACATTTATAATCACTGCGATCATAAAAGCATGTCCGTGGTCCGCGCCTATGCAAGCTTGAATCGGTGCGCAGTGGGTTACAAGTCACAAATCTGAATTACTCGGCCCCTGACCAGCAACAAACCCTGTCGTCGCGTACCTTAAAAGGCGTAAAGCAGCATCCAACATTTGCGAAAACGCTTACAACCAGCAGAAGTCTACGGGATGGGGTAGGGCGGAAATCTGATGGCAACAAGCAGTGCAACCACCATACTTGTGGTAGCAACCGTAGGCAGAAATAACGTATATGCTTCTGAGATGGTCTACGAATCGCAACTTAAGGTTTGGAGTAAGAGAACTCATGGGCGACACCCATTGTGTGTGGGTTCGGGCCGGCTGAGCAATGATAGTGAGACGTTCTTCGAGCAACATTCGAGTAGCTTCAACCTTCCAAGATGAGTCAGAAACGTAACGACATTCCACTGGAAGAGAAAATTAGCGGGTGATACAACTAAGTGGAGAACTAATCGGTGTAACTAAATGGGGCCTAGAAGACAAGGGCACTGAGCCGAAAGGAAAAATCGTTTCAAGAAGAGCCTAATTGCATCTGAGCTGTCACAAAAGCATATGTATGTACTATCGTTAAAGGCGAATGCGTTACAAAAATACAAGGATAAAGCATAATCAACGACAATGTTCGCCTGAAGAATCTTGCGCGAAAGTTCTAGAAAAGATGGCCAAAAACTAGAGGTTAGATAGGAAGTAGTATATGATATGCAACAACACGACTTACCTTTTTTAATCCTCGGCGCCAAACTTGGAAGAGATCCGGAATAAACTGGGCCAATTGGGTGATCAGTGACTGTTCAGGTGAACGAAGGGCAGTCAGCCAGAATATATTGGTAGTTGCGGAAATCATCTGATGGTGCAAGTGGAGGAGGGCGATTGCGGGGGTGGGTGCATCAGATAGTTTAATGGGGAATACGAGCAATGGAGAAAGTGTACGAAGATAAAAACGAATACATGCCGATAGCACTTGGTAACAACGGTCAACTATTCTCCAGGGGAGTACATATAGTTTCTTCTGTCTCAGTTAATGAGCAGAGAACTTGGAAAAAGATGAGGTGTGGATCAATAGTGTCGACTGAACCGGATAAACAAATAAATTTTTATTCTCAACTAAGCGAGGCACGCCTGAATAGGCATGATAGGGATGGAACCTACTGGGCAGCAGCAGCAGCCAAGCTGAAGATCCGTAACAGGTGGTCCACATGAAAGATAGAGAAGTAACAGATGATGGACACTTATGTGCCATCAAGGAGCACAGTGACTATTCGATGGGCATGGATTCCAATTAAATAAGCAAAGTGGTTGTAAAATGCTAGCTTAAGTTCAGTTGAACAACTATGAACCAGTGGGGCACCGAAGTGCGGTAGATCAAGTAGCCACGATTCACATCATCAGAATAACATCGGTAGGAAAATGAGGTTGAAAGCAAACAGAATACAATTAAAATGGAATTAAGAAGCGCGGTAAACTAACTCAGCTGTGATGGAAAATAACAGATACATGTAAGAAACCGAATGCGAGAAGGCCACTGAATACGCAACTTCGCCATCCGGGACCCGCACCTACAAAGGCAACATGCACCAGCCTGACAAAGTATGGGGGGAAAATAGCGCGATCGTTTTCCGACTGTTTGTGGATGCAACAGCCCATCGGGCTATTGACATGACAGCGAGCTAGTAACGATACACTTGTTCATTGTAATTCGCTCAAATACAGTATTCATCCAAACTGGGTGATGAGATATGGTTCAAAAATTTGTGTAACTACATAAATTCAGAGATTGGTAGTACTATTACTACTATCATCAAGCGGGTTCTGGAATTTTCGCGTCCTAACGACGTGCGCACCAACCTTCCGATTGGCTAACAGGACTGATCTGCCAATCCGGACAGCTGACCTAGCTGTTCTGATATGTGAATCTTCCTTAGTTGACTTATAAATGTCCGTCGATTTCACACTACTTTTTGCCGTTTCGGTAACTGGTTCAGTAACCCGCTTTTAGCTCCAGGCTTTGCCTTCCGATTTTCGGCTGGGAATAGGAGCTAGCAGAGAAAGGGTTCAGTTTAGTCGGATTCGCAGGTAAAGAGGCAGATAATAACACACAGTAAGAAGGCAGTAATATCGCACAATTGGCGCGGGCGCACAGTAGTGGTGAATTGGTGAGTGTGTAATGGCAGCTTCCCCTTTCGGAGCGCGTGAACCCTTAAGTCGGCTGTCACCCCACATTTATGAGATGCGGACATGAACTAAATTTATCCCAGTGTTTGGAATGGGACACTGAAAAGATTCCAGATGATATGTGCATACTAGAAATCCAGACAGTCTACGAATCAGCCCATAAAACAGTCACTGCATAGAAAAGGACGTTATAATGAGAAAAGGTTCGCTCAGGTACAAATGAATAGTATGTGTTCATTAATCTGAGCTACCCAGAGGTCATCCAGGTTTTAGAGTACAACGCCTACGCATATCGGTGAGGCAGCAAGTAACTCCCATGCAACTGTAGTGCGTACAGGCCAGTGAAACTTTGGGAACGGATGCCTTTTTGCAGACGAATGAGAAGTGATTTAGAAAGAGCGAATCGCCGTCAAAGGGGAAAATATCGCGAATACTGCTCAGAAACCCGATCAACGGAATCCTGTTGTAGGCTACGAAGATTATTCCGTATAAAACTGCGCGACCAACAGCAATAACGCACCTTGAGGGGATGGTTCATAATTCGCAAAATGCAATTCAATATGTGGGTGAAATGATTGGAACAGGCGAACTGCATTCCAACAACACACTCGCAGGGAGACGATTGTGTGCAGAAATCCGTCCATCGAGTGACCATCGCCTGACCGAGCCGGGCGATGACTTCAGAGGCCAAAAGTAACGCGTTATATCCGCCCTCTGTTAAGGAATGCTGATCGTCCAACGAAGAACTGTTAGAATAAAGAATGAAATATACAATCACCTTTGAGTTGCAGGCAATGAAGTATCAAACGTTGGAAGCTCTTTAATGAGGTACCTCAAAAACCAATGAAGATGAGATAGAAAAATCGCAACAGCAGTTAATGAAACAATACCCATCGCAATCTTCGCAGAAAATAAAAATACTATCAAGAACGGGACTGTAGAGAGAAACATAAATTATATGCTCAGACGACAAGAGTTTACCTGATCTGTCGTTATCAGAGCAAGACATTTACTAACTGAATCACCTCGTGAGGTACAAACTACTTAAAAATTGTACATGATCGGAGATCCCTTTACATATGACAATGTGACTATAAGCAGGCAGAGATATTTAGACACAGCAGCGCGAACAACAGGGCTACCGAGTGGAACGGTGGGTCAATGAATGAAGCTAATCGATTTTCCTCCGTACCCGTATCATTACTGATCTAGATGCTTCCAAACAAAGAACTATGACATCAAACAGGAGGATTACGTAGTAAGAGTCGCATACGACGCGGAAGAAATCATGGAGGCTAACGTTCCTGACAGTAAGTCATATGCCTTTTCCGAATAGTGGCGAGTGAAAGACTCATAATTCGAAGGTTACCTCGCTAAAAACGGTGTATTACCAGTTAACAGTTGAACCGATTGAAGCACCAACGGTACAAGCAAGTAGTCTGCCAAGTCTACTTAAATCCAAGATGACTGAAGATGAACTGATCGGGTGAGTAAGCGTGGTTAGACTCATCAGAAAAGTCAAGATCTTGGTAAAAACCAACGCAACCTTATTGCTCCAGTCACTCGAACTTGATGAACATTATCGGTGGACCCCAATCGCTAACATCGCCCATGTATGGTTTGGTTAGTGTCTCTGTTAAGGGGACACAGGTTAATACACACCTCTCATATTGAAACATTGTACAGGACCTTGACGGCTGAATGGTGTTTCTGCACCGAGTAAGACCACTTCAACTGATGCCTTCACAAAAAAACTGCACCATAACAATCAGTACATTTCAATGAGGATTCACAAAAGAATCAGTCTGAATAAAGACACTTTGGGGAGGTGCCACTTAACGCGGCATCCGCATGCTGCTTAACGAATAGTAACTGAGCAGAGAGCAGATGAGAAGCAATCAATGCGACTATTGCGATGCCAAATGGTTACTTTACTGCAGACGGAAAAACTAGGACAACGCATCTCCTGGTGACAATCAAGCTCAAAAAAGAAAGGTGAAGTGAGACTGCCGCAAACAAATAGGAGCAAAGGTGGAAGAATGAGAGGCCTGCATGTGAAGGTGCGTCATTAATACAGTTTGAGTATAATAACAGTGATTTGACACCGGCGTAATAAAACTGAGAACCAATTCACAGAAGTGGTCAACTCTAAAAAGCACTTATGCGTACTGTACGGTTGTGAAACTTGGCCACTTAAAGCAACGGACCTGAAGAGGCTAGTTACGTTCTACCACCGGTGCCTTCGCAATTTAGCTCACATCTGGTGGGAACACCGCGTGAGCAACAAGCGTGTTCGACGCCTTGTTTACGGCACAGGAAAAGGAACTGAACCGCTCAGCACCGTTATCTCACGTACCAGGCTCCGATGGTTCGGCCACGTGTTACGCATGCCAGACCACCGACTCCCGCGACGTGCGTTGTTTGCGCCCCGAGGGTGTGGATGGAAGAAGAGGAGGGGTGGCCAAGCGATGACTTGGTCGAGAGGAATGAAGGCCCTCACTTCTGAGCTGGCCTCAGTTGGAGCGTCTCGGCTCCGTGGTTGGGGTCCGAAAGACGATGAACACCTTTGGTTAGACACACTTGCCAATATGGCAAGGAGCCGACCTCAGTGGCGTTCGTGCTGTGAGTTTCTTTGTCCTACCCCATCCCTCTTAGCCTCCCCCTCAAACCACGATCTCATTAGTTAGCCTTATATAATTTTGCATAGCAATTTTTTTGATGCACAGTAGCCGGCTGGTAGCTTACCAGAACGGTGCCTATCCGTTACCGGTAGCTCAGCCGGCTTGCACCAGTTGCTTTTTTCTCCTTTTTTATATGTATTGCGGCACAGTAGCTGACGTGTATGATGATGATGATGATATGGGTACATATACCAGCGCAGTAAGAGCTAATAAACTCATTGGCTAACCAAGTTTTCCTCGTTCAGTTAAGAGGCCACAGCAATACGCTGGCACACTGCGTGCCGACGCCTCGCTGCCACGCCACCATCACCAGTCGAAAAGGCTAGGTATTTCGCGAGATCGCCTACATCTACGTAGATTCAAGTCGGCGTCCTAGGAAGTACAAGGCAGAGGGCAATCCTTTCGGCCACCGGCGAAATACTAAATGCCCAGCTGTCACATAAAGAAGCGTACAGATCAGAATTTCAATTGTGATTGAGACACCCAGATGCAGCGCACATATCTTCATCATTATTACACACCTTAGCTACAGGTGGAAAACACATCAGCTATTGTGCCGTAATACAAAAGGAAAAAATGAAACAAAGGCACCCCACCAGTAAAGGATGGACATCGTTCCGGAGAGCTAATAGCCGGCTATTGTGTCGCAAAAATGGTTATATTATGCCTAATAAATAAGATCGTGTTTGGAGGAGGAGTCTGAGCGGGAGGGAAACTCACAACACAAACGCCATTGAGGCAGGCCCCTAGTCATGTCAATAAATGTATTCAGCCAGACGTGCACACCGTACTTCGGTCCCCAATCAAAGAGCCGAGTAGCTCCAACCGAGGCCAACTTCGAAGGGCCAGTTAAGCGGACTGGCACACGATAGTGGTTTACATTCGTGACATTCGTGGCTATGCCCTGTCACGTGATTGTGTTAGGCATATTTACGCATATCAGTCGTTCGCAATTGGATCGGTTACCCTACGTGACAATGTCCTTTCACATGGTTGGTTAATTGATCTATTGATCTTTGTGTATTCCGGCTGCTCTGCCATGTCAGTTTTTCAATACAACTCGTCCAGTGCAATGGTGTTCTTGCTTCCCGTTCGGAATGGGGTCTGTTACAGTCAGAGGTTATAATAGACTGGTGACGGTATTCCAGTATGCGAACCATGACGGTCCCTTTGGAAGTTCTTCAAGAAATGCTGTCCAAAATGCAAGCACACTTTGAGGCATCACAGCAACGCTTAATTAAAACATTGACAACACGAAAGTCGTTACACAGTCAGCGTGTACAGATTTAACGGTTTCTACTGCAGGTAAGCTGGCGCACAGTATGGCAGAATTTCATTACCAGCTGGACGATGACCTCACTTTCGAAGCAGGGTTTCGCCGCTATGAAGACTTGTTAAAAATTGATGGGCGTGAGCTAGGTGAGGCAGCTCAGGTACACCTTATTTTGAGGGAATCGGGTCCATAAGAGCATGAAAAGTGCTCTAATTACATTATATCGAAGAAGCCACGCGATATATCATTGGACGACACTGGAAAACACTTGACCAGAATTTTCGGCCCTAAAACCACTTTTCAACACGCGTTTCCGGTGTTGTTGAACACCATGAGGGGGATTTTGTGACTTGTGCAGTTGTTGTTAACAGGGAATGTGAACATTTTCAGCTTAGCACACTTACAAATGATATGTTTAAAGTGCTGTTTTGTTTGTGGATTACGTTCTGCAAAAGATGCGGAGATTCGAAGACGTTTGTTATCTCGTTTGGTGTCTAAACCAGAGGTCTCACCACAGGAGCTGGTAAAGGAATGTGAACGTATGTTGACACTGAAGCATGACACAGAAATGATCCAACGGTCCAGCGAGTCTTGTGTGCTGGATGTTCATACTATTCCTACACGCCCCAGGCCATCGCATAATTCAGTAGGTCTCTCCAACTTCGCATGCCGCGGCTGTCCGCCTAGTGCTTATTGACATTGTGAGCAGTGGCATTTCGCTCGACTTTGTGAATTCAGACGATATATCTGCAAGCGTTGTGGGAATATGGGACATAAGGAAACCAGATGTTTGCAGGGAGCCTCTGGAAGACCGTCACGAACCTAGGCCAAAACTCCAAGTTTTCAATGTTGCGTTTCAAACGTAGTGTTTGCAACCACTAGCCCGAACGATAAGTCACTACGGACGTGTTTTACGATTGTGATAAACGGTATTACTGTCCGGCTTCAACTGGACACGGCTTCCGATAGTACAATAATCGCTGAGTCGATATGTAGCAAGCTCGGTAAACTCGCATGTGTTCAAACTTCACACGTCGCTCACGATGAGTCCGACACGGAATTACCCTTCCTTGGACAATTCAATTATGAGTTTGCACTTCGAAATTTGCATGCTAATGGTGTTTGTTACGCAACACGTTATGGACAATTGAACTTATTAGACATGGATTGGATAGACAAACTTAATTTATGGAACTTGCAGTATTTGTGATGACCCAGGTAGTTTTTCACTGTGTCCCATCGATTTTCAGTGTTCGGTTGCACCCGTAACTTTTAACGACAGTGCAGAAGCTCTATCACATTTTGCCTCCAAGTACCCCAATGTTTTGCAGAGGGTCTTGGAATGTGTTAAAAGTTAAAAGTTGTGTTGTATCCGCGTAACGGTGTACATCCAGTATTTTGTCCCAAAAGACCAGTACCATACGCTGCTGTTGAGGCAGTGGATGCCGAAGTTGGTTGACTGGAGTCCATGGGCGTCATCAGTTCTGTGAGCTATTCCGCGTGGGCCGCTCCCATCGTAGTCATCAGAAAGGCTAATGGCAGTTTGTGTATTTGTGCTGATTTTGCTACAGAATTAAATAACGCATTGGAAACGCATCCATATCCCTTGTCTGTTCCCGAGGATTTATTCACAAAACTTAATGGAGGAAAAAATATTTTCTAAAATTGATCTTTCTGATGCATGTTTGCAAGTAGTGATCGAGGAGTGCTCGAAAGAGCTGTTCACTATTAATACTCATCGAGGCTTGTATCGTTACAATCGGTTATCTTCCAGAGTAAAATGTGCTCCAGC